TAAAATATGATTCGTTCCAAGCCTCTCTATATATATTCACCACATAACCCACAAAGAATCAAGTTGTCTAAAAGAGATGGCTTGATCGTGATCACGCTCCCTAAATTGTTTCTATGTCATGTTTGTGACATCACCCCCTCCAACGAGTTACAGAATTGTTATACTTAACTTATCAAGAATAAAACTAAAACTGTTACAATAAGTCCATGTGATAGTCACATGGCTGAAGACTAATTTGATGTTAATATGGATGTGTTGGATTCAAACATCTTTTGCACTTGGATTTGTTGCATATTGAGAAATGATGTTGATCAGATATGTTGGATTCAACTATATTTTTGAATTTGATATCATTAGATAGAAACAATAAATATTCTGATCATTTTAGTAACGTTATCAAAATTAGCAGCAAGTCTCCCAAGTTTGAAGTCATGTTTCATAGCGTTGCCAATGTACAAGATATTCTAATCTTATTCAATTGATGCGGAAAATTGAGGATATCAAACACTTCAAATTATTCTTTCTGTTAATTTTGATTGCTTGTGGAGATGTTGGTAGCTTACCTGGAATAGTTGATTCTTCATAATTCTTAGGCAATAAAACATGAAACACTAGATAAATTTTTATGGATAATGACAGATCTAATTTGTATGCTAGTTTGTTTACTTTTTTACTAACAAGAAAAAATCCAATACAACAACAGTGAAAACTGTTGCTAGATCGGCAAGTGTACAAATTGCGACGTAGAAGCCAAACTTTATCATCAACAAAGATGTTCAAAGTTTACTTTTAAAATTCTCCTACATTTTTCTACTATCACTTTTGAATATCTACAAACCTTGCCTTGAGGCAACAAAATCTTGCTCATTTAGATGTTTTGCCAAATTAAAGTTTAGGGTTTAGAGTTTAGGGGTTTAGGGTTTACCATGAGTCAACTCATGGTAATATTCATAATATGCAAAGAATGGAGTTTGCTAGATGGACTCTTGAAATGTATTTTTGTAATCAAAATCTACAGCTTGGAGTATATTCATCCAATTGTCTTGATGATAGTTGATGGAATATCTTAAATATTGCTCAAATACCTGATTCATTTGTTCAATTTGTCTATCCGTCTAAGTATGATATGCCCTCGATAGATTGATCTTCATTTGTAAGATTTTGAACAATGATCATAACTTGAATATGAATTGCAATCCATAATAAACATGATGTAGTAGTAAAGTTCATGATATATGTACAAGATTCCCAAGAAAGATTATGATGTTTTTTACTTTTGATAATCTTGTTGCAAGGCACAAAATGTACCATCTTTGTTAAGCGATCCACTACAACAAAAAATAAATCAAAATTTGTGAAATTTCAAATTTCACAATAAAGTACATGGACATACAAGATCATGATATTCCAGAATTGGGTATTGATGTAATAATCCATACAAATAACGACAAGAAATCTTGAATTTTGAATAGATTTCACATCTTGTGACGTATTCTTAAATATAATTTCACATTTGTGAACAACAAAAATCTCTTGAAATTAGCTCCATGATCAAACCGCCACTGGTGTATCTAGATGACTTTGATCATTCCTCTAGTTCTCCTATGGGAGCCGGATGAGTTAGCATCTGAAGTGTTGTAATGTACAAGCGGGGGTAGCTAAATTCTGTGTGTTATGCGTTTGGCACTTTTTGTATAGTAGAACAAGGCTTTTTAAAGCCAAAATGTTTTGCTAACAAAAATTTGTGTTGAAATTAAGCATGAATTAAGCAAAATTGGCATGAATGCTCAAGGACATATAGTAGTATCTTGAATTAGAGCAATCTATTTTTGAACTAGAATCTTAGATTGATATCATCTTGGAACATTTTACCATCATGTGGTTTATGGATTCATTAACACAGAGTAGATTAAATAGGAGATTTTTAAATCTATAATCTCAAAATCATAAATTTGAAAATTCATGGTGTGGAAATCTTTCAAAGAAAAAAATTTAAGAATGATATTTGAATTTCAAGGCCATAGGATTATTGCGTAGACTTAGACTGATAATTTAGAAAAATACTACATCTATCAAAATTGTATTGCGCGTGGTTTAGAACGGAAGTTGTTTAGGCTTGAATAGAATTTGATGTTGTTGATTGAATGTTGCATCAACTTTTTTGACACAAGATACTCTCGCCTTGATAATTAGTTAGATGCAAACTTGTTGTGAACAGAGTGTATATGTCAAAAGCAATTCTTCAAACAAATTAACGATCGCTAAAAACTCCTTATTGTGAATCTTGTGGTTGATCTTTATAGCCATGAATTTTTGCAAATGGAACGCAACAGTATGAAGATGTTTGTCATCACCACATTGTGAGAAAATCGCTCTGAAGACAAATTCAAAACCCTAGCTATTGGAAAAAAAACGGTTTCTGAAAGTCAACATGTATCATGATATGCCTAGTGAAAAAAACCGCCTTTTGGTTTGCAAATGCTTGTTCTGCTACCCTACTCCATTCAATCTTGTTTTTGAAGTGAGTTGAGTTAAAGAAGAAGCAATCTTTGAATATTTTTTTATGAAGATTCAAAAGAAATCTGCAAAGTCAAAAAAATATTGAACATCTTGAACTATCGTTGGTTTCTTTTATTTAAAAGATTTCTAAATCTTTTTTGAATCTATGTTCATACCCTCTTCAGTGATGATGTAACCAAAAAAATTCAACTTGATGTTGGTAAAACGCGCATTTTTTTAGCTTAGCATAAAGCCTAGCATTCTAACTTCTCCAATATCAATTGTACTTGTGTCCTGTGATTTTTTTTAAATTCTCTGAATAGATCAATATATCATCAAAATTCTATTCAAAAATATCATCCAAATAACATATTACAAAGTCAGAAAAAGGTTCTCGAGATATCGTTCATCATATGCTAAAATATGGCAGGTACATTTTTAAGACAAAACGGCATGACGTTGTATTCAAAATTATTCATACCATTTTTGAAATATGATCTTCCAATTTTCATCTTCTTTTATGCACATTTGATGCATATACCTTTGCTTGATCCAATTGATCGGAGAAGTCCAGAGATCAAATGCCATAGATCTCCATTTTTTGTTGTGATTTTATTCAATCCACGATAATACACGCAGGTTAGAAGCGAAGCATTCTTCTTCTTCACAGAAATGCTCCAGGATAATCACCGTCGGAAATCTTATACTCCGTCTTCATGCAAATTTGATGAGCTTCAACGCTATACTTAACAAAACCGCAGCGAATAGGTGAAACAAATGCGTAAATCTTCATTCAAGTAAGACAGCTGAGCTGTCTTACTTGATCAATATTTGATTAATATCAGAGCTGTGACAGCTCTGATATTACAAATAAAGCGGGGTGAACTGCGGCCCAGTTGAGTAACCAGATGCTTGTAAAGATCATACCACACACTATATTCTGGAAGGGTAAGATGCGATCAGCGCTCCAGACCCGCGCACGTTGTTACCCGCCATATGAAGCGGAGTTATTGGGGACTTATCCGTGTTTCTACTGCCAACTTCCTTGGTACAACGTTCCACTTTACATTCGTGACGCTATCTACTAGCCTACAAGAGTAGACGAGACGAAATAGCGTTCAGCTTTTATGACTGCAAGCTAGCTATATTGACAAGAATGTGTCGCCTTTGAACACCCAACTGTGTTTCCGCAACCCACAATGTTATGGACATACTTTTTCAGGCACGGAAGCATGAACCTGAGAGATTTGCTTGATGGGACCCCTGCGTAAAGTAATTTACTTGATGGGACCCTAACGACAGTGTGGCCCGTCGGACATAGTTCTTGTAACTATGATTACTACTAGCTACAATGCAGGGATTATAATCAGAGATCAATCCTCACTATAATTTCTGGTGTATTATCACGGAGACAAAAATCAATTTTACTCCAAGTGCAATTTGTTGTGCTTCAATTCTTCGCGGATTTCTCTGTTGACTCTCACCTGCACTTTCCTTCCGTAACCCTGGGTATGCAACGAGCGGGGATTATAATCAGAGATCAATCCCTGATTATAATTTCTGGTGGATTATCATGGAGACAAAGATCAATTTTGCTCCAAGTGCAATTTGTTGTGCTTCAATTCTTCGCGGATTTCTCTGTTGCCTCCCACCTGCACTCTCCTTCCGTAACCCTGCGTATGCGACGAGAAGCTCGTACCGGAAAATGGTTCGAGTTCAAGTCTCGCGATCACCCAAATCTGGCGAACAAATAAACTCCGGATGAACATTTTGCTCGTCTCCCGGGGGAATGGTCGGATACAGAATGACAACATAAAAACAAGTGAGTGTGATGGAACGCGAAGTCCACTCTGTCCTCGGGTGCGATTGACTCATTGCACTCTCTCTAGTTGTTATAAGAACATGGGTAACAGTGCATAGTTCATGGGGTCCCATCGGGTAAAATGAAACCTGAATGGTCCCATCAAGCAAATTACTTTCCGGAGGGGTCCCAATCTCTCGCATGAACCTAAACAGTATGATCCAAGGAGTCCCAATCTCTCGCATGAACCTAAACAGTATGATCCAATATTAGCCGGCGAGGAATGCAGTCTTCGTTAAGATCGGATAATTTCAATTCAGTGCAGTAAGAACATCAATTAATTCGGACGTTAACTGCTACTTTATCCGCGTCAAGTTCTGTTTTGAATATCTGACACAGGCGTCCAGCAGGGGTTTTTTGAATTATAAGTGACACGAACCTGCTTCCCCTGCTCTATTCTACAATGATTGCATATTGCTTCATTGACTAGCTATGAATGTAATGCATAGCTTCGCTTGTGAATGGTTGACCAACAGGAGGACTTCTCAAGAGCGCTAAAAAGACGACACGTGCACGCCACAATCCGAAGCTGAACAACATAGCCTACAACAAAAGCAGTCTGCAGTGATATACTTTTGCACACATGGTGATTCCCCCATTCGTCTCAACACTTCATGCGTAATTCCTTCAACAAAATAAGGGCCATATATTTTATAACAATCATAACTTTGACGAGAAACAGATACAAGTCCAGTAGCGATTCATTCTCAATGCAAGGAAAACTCCGTGGAATGGAAAATCTCTCGCTGATAGACACGTGATCTTGAGACTCAAATTTGCAAGAATGTGACATCAATGCTACGTATCTAGTAACCCTGATCCACTATGAATGTGCATCGGCAATTTGTATTGCAGCTCACATCTTTCGGATTGCACTATATCCTGTCTCTCTCTAAGAAATGGACTTCCGACTAATCTAGCCTTTTCTAGAATCTAAGTTGTATGAAACCGTGCAGCCTTAGACAGCTCACTAAGCTTACCAAACCTTACCCATCTTAATTAGGTAGAGAGAAAGTAAGATTGCCCAAAAAATATTGACAACTTGCGCATAGCATAAATTTGACACTTGGCCGCCGATATTATGTTGTAGCTGTCAAGCATGAGAAGCTCCGGCTTGGCGTGAAGAATGCTATAGACCGCTACGACCTCATAGCAAGTCTGAAGACTCGACTACCTACCTACTACAATCTACAGCACCACTTACAGCTGCTCCATTTGCAAGCTGCCCCAAACACACAATCATTTTAACAATTACAGCTCCACTCCTTTGGGATAAGCTTGAGCCGTCCTCTGTGATAAGATATGCCATTCTCGTTCATCAACTAATAATGGCTCGACTTCCCATTTGACTGTACATTCCAAGAAGACATAAGTTACTATGAGGAAGTTTACTTAGTTGAATCCCCGAGGAATGGTATCCTGTTGCGAGGACGTGCACCCCTACTGGATGAACGACACGATGGAACTTGAACCACTGCAATAGAACTGTGAGATCTAAGGGAAAGCCTGTGGCGTATCCGAGGGACACAGTTCCAGATTTCGCATGACAATCCGTGAGAAAACTTTCGCTTGTAGAGGAGCTGTCGCTGCGGCAGCAACTGCTCGAAGGACTCGCCCAGCACCAGCCTTTTGTAGAAGACCTGCGTGATGCATAGCATGCCTACCTCCAGGCATCGTAAACTGCACATTGAAGACAAAATATAAGTAATCGTCGATCATAACAAGGCTCGGGGCATCCAAACAATATTATAAACCACGAGCTATCGCTTGTGGTATTTCACATCTGCTTATCCTTTTGTACATCTTCGTTAACACACCGCCTTCTTAGCTCAATGATGGGTATTGTACGTTGTGGCAGAGGCCTCAAAAGAGCCAAGGATAGGACCAGAAAACTAACAAGGTTCGTCCACACAAAAAAAGGCACACGTACATGACCATGAGAGACAGCCTCCTGGGGTCAATGACTGGGATAATATTGTGACAAAGGCGCGTAGGGGAGGAGCAAAGGAATAACAAGGTTCTTCCAAGAAGAAAGGCAGGCCAACACGACCATACAGCTATTATACATAACCGCAATCAACATAAATGATACAAAATTTAGCCGGGAAATAAGTAACGTATACATGTTTAGCTACGAACGTATCATACCTGTAGAAGTGCAAATGCGGCACAGCCACGTAAGACCGCCGACCCATTTTTCAACATCGCCACGAATCTCCCCACTTCAGCTCCACTGTGATATTCACGGGATGTGGGAAGATCAAAGACGTAATCAGTCTCAGGGTCTTACATGCTAAAAATTTGAAAAATTATTTGACAGATAAATTTTTTGAAATCCTAAAATCTTTCACTTCACAATTTTGCAATATATACCTGCATCGAAGATGTCCGGCTTCTTGGATTCGGGCACTTTCTGCGACTGCTGCCAGGAAACTAGGAGCCCAGGATACAGTAGCTGCTTGAAGGGTAGGTTGATCCGAAAAAGCTTGAACGAAGGTGTCTATGTTCCGCATGGCAAGCTTTCTCGCGCCATCTAGACCTCCACCTCTGGCGTTGTTCTCGCAAAGCACGACCCCAGCCGCAACCTCATCCATTCTGAAAAGGGTTGAAACAGTATACATTTGACAAAATTAGTTTCACTGTCTTCATGGAACCTATGAACTTCATGCACTGCTATAGTACATCCTAGTAGGTAATGAGTAGTAATGTGCAACTGCTTCTAATGATGCCTGAGAAAAGGTAACCGAAAAATTTACCTGCCATCAAACATGTAGGCGAGGGCAAGTGCAGCCATGAATCGAGCCATCTTCGACTGTGAAGAAGAACATAAGTGGACTAAAGCAGGCACTCCCTCCTCTTCGACAATCTTCAAAGCGTTCCCTGGATTGAAGGCCAGATTCCAAAGAGCCCCTGCTGCTGTCTCATGAACATCCTGCACCAACAAGAAAATTACAAACCTCACTTAAACAAGAGGCTACTTGCAACAAATCAGTTACTTGTAACAGATTTATTGCTTCTTGGCTAATAGTCAATATTTAGTATCAAAAAGCTAGACACCAACATCAAAAAGGTGGAAACTTGAACGAGTAAGTGACGGCGATTCATATTTTCCCCACAGCTGGGATTTTGATGCTACAGAACAATAACCATACACATTCTAAAACTACGCCCTACGAGATACAATGGATGTCACTGGATCCCAAAACCTTGTTCCTGTTTCGATGAGATATGCCAACATCGGAAGAGAGAACTCAGTCAAAGAAAAATGAACTAGAAAGCAAGAATCTGACAGACCCTTTGATACAACGACAATCTGTAAACCTGCGTCACCTAAAGTTATATGCATACGAGTACGATAATAATCAAAATGATGCCCTTGCTCTCAGTTTGAAATCTGTTCTCACAAGGCTTTTCCCTATCTGATGATGCAGTTGAATGTTTGAACTATCATGGCAAGATTTCAGGGTGAGGGATCACTCGTACCTCAGAATCAGATCGAGCCAAAGCAATCAATGGGGCTACCCCACCCTCACGACCAATAGCAATGCTGAAGGATCGAAGAAAGGACGATAAACTTGTTAGTAAAGTGGACATTCAGCATACTCAAACTAGCAGAATGTAAAAGCAGATGGATCAAAACATAGATGATTCGAAAGAAAGAAGTCGCACACGATGCGGCCAAGTCAAAAGCAAGACCAGAGAATAAGGTAAAGTAGATGATTCGTTTGAATACCTGTTAGCTTCTGAGACAGAGAGTCCCCAGAGGGCGCCTGCAGCCCTCTCTTGTAACCCTTGAGATCCGCTACTGCAGCTCTGGGCCAGAGCCACCTGTAAGGGAAAGCAGTAATACAGAAGGAGATATCAGATAAGCCATAAAATAGACGGAACTCCGGGAGCAGATTGGAGTACACAAAGGTCCACTGTCTGAAGGTAAGGCAAGCAAAATAAACGCCTGGAGACATTAAGTCGAACATGCGCACGTGATCTGATTCACTATACAATGAACAGCTAAGACTTAATGATACGCAAACAGGACATTTACACCTTCAGCCTTCCATCACGGTACTGCGACTACTCACCAAAGCCTCGACACCACCAGCAGCGGCAATTGCCTCTCGATTTCGGTCATCAAAAGACAAATTCCACAACGCTCCCGCAGCCTCTTGCCTAGCGAGCATGACACGATGTTCAAAAGAAATTTCTGACAGAATCCTATACATGCATTTCTGATTAGCACTACATCAATCTGGATGTCTGGTACGACCTATGACTTTCAGTCCTCTGTGATAAGTTAAACGTGAAGTCCGCCCTCTTTAGATGTGGTTTGGAGAGCTATTCCATCTGCTAAAACTAGAAAAAAAAACATCTTATTGTTACTTGAAGTTCACATAAATCGTCCCTGACAACACAAGGGATCTGTAAGAGACGTTTCTTCCATTACATAGAGTAACGAAAACTGGAACGGAACTTTCTCACGACTTATTTTCAGTGCTTAATGGAAAAAAAGGAGGTCACAACAACTCTTTCGAAGGGAAGACAAACGAATAAAGTCAACTCACGAAGAGAGTGAGTGATAGAAGATACGATGATAGGATGAAGGATCAAGACAATGAAAACCTACTACAGGAGTAAACAAACCCGCCTAGGATACAACATTGAAAACTTAGGAAAAACAAACAACACGAAGAAGCTTTGTATACATGAGAAACTGAAACTTCTACATACCTAACTCCTTCGTGACTGGAACATGTAAGTTGCACCAATGCTTCTAGAGAGCCGATTTCCTTCCCAACAGCAGCATTGTTACCATTGCTATCACCATGAGCAGCCAAGTTGGCCAATGCCCGTGCCGCCTAGCATATTCAACAGCTCAGATATAAGCACCAAAAAACTACATCCATGACACAACGAGCAACGAGTTAAGACTGCGACAAACAGTCCGGGCTAACTTGAGGACTTGGGCCTCATAAATTTAAGAAAAGAGACAGGATAAAACAAAAATTAAGAACGGAATTTTAGCGTTACACAGAAGGTTGTCATTTAGAATTTGGATCTCGTGGTTTACTGATTCGAGCAACACGACCACGGAAACATTTTCAAACACCTCCCGCAGTGGTGACCACTCACTTGTACAGATTAAATTCTCTATTGTAGCTCACCAAGATGGAGAGCTATTATAAGCTAAAAGTTCGGTCTTTGGACAACGAATCAGAATCTCGACACTCCAAACCACAATGCACATTTCCACATCCAGTTGAAAAGCGAAAATAATTACTAATTTTATCAATTGAGAGAAAACCGAGATAGTTGTCGCGAAAGTAACAGTGGCACGGACGGCATAAATTAGATCTGCCTAGAAAATTGACTGTGTCAGAAAGCAACCTGCTCTTGTACACCCTCGTGCTTGCAGAAACGTGCTAGCATAACCAGTGCGTGTACACCACCGGCCCCTGCAACTTCCGTACTGCACTTGTCATCTGCTGCCAAGTTTGCGAGTGCACCTGCTGCCCTCTCCTGGATGAAAAGAACAAAACAAGCATTATGTGACACGGACAAGACATAAGATATCGCGACCTAAGTACGAAACAATACATTTCCATGAATAATTGAAATGATACTTTAACACATTTTCAAGCACCATCCAGTGAAGCTACTGATCATGTAAAATAAGCCAATAAATCAAAGCGTTAGTCTGGTTCAGATAATTGCACGGATTAACGCACAAGGCTCACCAGGACTCCTTCGCCACCAGAGGGCCATTTGAAGGCTAGTTCGACCAAGGCCTCAATCGCCCCAGCCTCAGCTATGGCACCCTGAAAAGCATGGCATTCAAGGTTAATTGGTGCATCCGAAGTTCGAACTTTTCATTTCCTAATTTCCAAACAATATAGCCCAGCGAGACTGTGTGGGTGTATTGATCTCATGAACTTGTGGTACATCATTACCTTATGATCTTCACCAACAGACAAGTTCCACAGACCTCCGGCGGCTTCCTCGGCGACCCAGCGATTGGGAGATTTTGCAAGGGCAGCCAAAATTCTGATCCCACCCTCTGTAGCTACTGTCTTTGCAACTTCGGTATTGACAGAAAGATTGGCGATGGCCTAGAGGTCATATCAGAAACAGCAATTAAGAGTGAGTCAAGAAGTTAAAGTATACTGGAATTAAGATACCACAGTATATTACAAGAGATACAATGATGACCACAAGAGGAGGAGGAGATATCAACTAAGGTCCGGAGGAGACCCACAGAATCATCCCTAAAGAAAAAAAGTCCTTTGACTCCCAAACACAACAATTCAACGCCTCATAACGCCTCGCTGACTGTAGTAACACACTTGTGGAATGTACCTTTGCGGCTTCTGCCTGTACTCCTTCACGGCAAGACTTAGCCAAATCCAGCAAGGATGCGATGCCACCTCCTTTCATTACGGCTTCCGCCCTTGCTTTATCTACTGTGGCGTTCTCGTCATCGATAACAACGAAAGTGGCTAAAGCTGTGGCACCTTTTTCTTGAACATCTTCTTGTTTGCTTTTCAAGAGGCGGAGCATTACTTCCGTTCCTTGCTTCAACCAAAAATTATCTAAACCAGGTACGTTACTTTCCGCAATTTTGAGCAAAGCATGGGAAAGAACCCATTCCACCCACTCCATAACTTCCCCGCTTCTATCCTCCTCTCTCCCGGCCCATCCTTGCCTCCAAGCAGAAGGAGAACTGCTCCATCCATTTTCACGTACTGAGCTTCGGGTATCAGACCTAAAAGCTCTTGGGAACAAAGAATCGAGATCCTTCACAAAATCTGTAAAGCGGGCCAGTAAAATTTTCGTCTTCAATTTGGACACAGCGTCACTGTTATCCTCCAGTGTAGGGCAACTGAGCGCACACAGCACTTTCAGCTGAGGGGCTCCAAGCAAACGCGTGACGGCTCCAGCAGTGACTTCAGTGCGAGACAGGTCAATCGCGTACAGGTTTGGAAGCTTACTCAATACATGCGCTGCAACATTCCAAGAGAGATTCCTACTGCCCGCGAGAGACAGGAACCTTAGACTAGTGGCCGCGCCCAGAGCTCCTTCATTAACTGCTAAACAATCAAGAAATCCTAACTCGATAAGGTTGGGGCACATTTTCACCAGGGATCCAATGGCATCGCCATCCACATCCCTAAGTCCTGAAAGACGCAACCGCTTCAATTTTGGACAACAAACTGCCACCACACGAATGGCATCACTTGTAAGTCTTTCACAATCAGGGCCCAACTGTAAACTCTCCAACGATTCATGGCGTGCAGCAATCATGGATAAAGTTGCATCTGATAGATCCCGACAAACATCTCCGCTCAGATCTCGGAGACCTCTGGCCTTTAGACCGACAATTGCGCTCGCTGGACCTGCTCCTCGGAACCTTAGCCGCTTTAAGTTCTTGCATCTGCCGGCAAGCGATGATGCCATAACTGCATCGAGAGTATGGGCTCGAAGATCCAATGAAGTCCACAAACAAGACGAAGCAGCGAGTCGACGCCATGTCTTGCAAACAGACGCTAAACTCGCCCTATCTCGGTAGTTCAAAAGACCGAACAACCCTACCAGCGTATCGTCTGGAATGGAGATCCAATCCGCACCCTGTTCTTCATCCAAGAGGTTTATATCATCAATCACTGTAGGTTCGAGTCCTTCCTTCGCGTTATCCTTAAGATCAACACCCACTACATTTGGCTTGTCCCTAGCTTGAACCGTCTTGCGACGCACCCTCCGAATCATTGTATCTAAATCCCGGGCCTTCGCCCTCATAACCCTGCTACACTCCTCTCATGGGCTGCACAAAGCTAATCACCTCGACTACATACTCTGAGAACTTGCCATAAACTCGAAATTCTGCAGTACCAATGACCACATGTTTGGAAGTCAGTACAATTCATTGGCAATTTTGATAGCTTTACAAGCGACAGGGTCTGAGTCCGAAGATTGCCTTCGCAATCCACGACTCCCCCCGCCTCCACCGTGGCTTCCCGAGGACGAAGGCCGGAAACCTTCCTTCCGCAATCTCTCGGCACCAATTATTCATTCCCCTCCTGAGCTCAAGTGGCACAAAGAGTTCCATACTGAAACACTGAAGAGCTACCGGCACAATCGTCCTCCACGGCAGGCGTCAAGCAATCTTTCCTTCATTTCCTCGAAACTAATGGAAAACCCCTGCCACCTATCCCATCGTCGTCAAATTGCTCCACGCGCAACCTCCTCTAACCGTGGCGCTACCCTGGCCCTTCGCGGCTTGAAAACCATCCACAACCTTTTCCGCCTACACCAGCTACCCCGGTCTCCTCGACTCGGTCCTCGTCCACCTGCGCCGCTGCTTCCGTAGCCTACGACAGCTCTAGCATCCCCGTCCCCTGCCTGCCCTACTCTGCCACTCCGGCCACAAACTGGAGAACACAAGACCTCTTTCTTCCGGCAATCATTCTCGTCTGCCATCCAACAAGCAACATCTTCTCCGGCTTCTACTTTCCTCGTTCGCCGCGAAAACCCTCATCTTTCTCGTCGCCAAGCACAACAGACCCACAAACACACCCACACACGTCTGTCTCTCTCGTCTCTTTCTTCCTCCCTCGAGCTCTCTCCCTCTGTCGCTGCGCCCCTCGCCCTACGCTCTCCTCCTGCCCACGCGAACCGCAACCTTTCCGCGCCAGAGCTCGCTCTTTCGCACACCCCAGCCCTTCTGCGCTGTCGTGCGATTCGACAACAGACGACGAGGGCCGGACTGCGGGACGCCTTCCGTGACGATCTCGAGAGGACGAGAGGACGGGCGGAATGAAATGGGAAGCAGACACCGAAGGCAGCAGGAGCAGCAGAAGCAGAAGGGAGGAAGGAAGGAAGGAAGCCAGCGGGCGAGCGGTGAAGACGGAGGAGGAAGAGGACGAGGAGGATGAGAAGGAGGAGGAGGAGGAGGAGAAGAAGAAGAAGAGAGGAGACGGGGGGAGGCAGAAGAACGCAATTGCGGAGCTGTCGAGCTCCGGAGGCAATGAAGGAAGGAAGGAAGGCAAAAGAAGGAAGCCCCAGTAAGCAAAAGAAAAGCAAGGGGAGAAACTGTGACTGACAGGCAGGGCACATCCTCAGAGGGTAAGAAAGCGGTGGTGGGGTCCCACGCCGGGGGACCTTTCCGTATTATCCATCCTTCCTTTTTTGTGCCACAAGCTTTCCCGTAATATACGGTCCTAGCCTTCGTTCCTCTGTCGCCTGCTGATCGGAAGATGTACGGTCTAACGCCCCTGCGGGCTTCCGTCTCCCGTGGTCCTACCTTTTCTTCCAGAACACCGGTGTCATTAACCCGAGGCCTGGGTTTGACCGTTTCTGATCTACAATTTCTGCCTGTCTTTCATCCTCCGCATCCGAGGCCCTTCGACGGAGGGTGAAACCCTTTTGGCTATCTACTGTTGACACATTTTCCCAATACTCCAGGATACTCGAGGTCCTACCCCTCGAGGCAAAGCACTAGAACAGTGAGTACATATCTTCCTTCGGTCGTTACGGTATATCGCTTTTCTTTTCCTTTTCTTTCTCCACAAAACCTCTTTTCATTTTTTTCGCTTTTCGGGAACTGCACTTCTTTTCTCCTCATTATTTTCTACCCTCAGAAATCAATGAGTTTTGAACTAACTAGTTATAATTTAATGGAGCATTTACTGAATCAACCAGTAATTATTAGGTTTTGTTTTTCTTTAATCAAACACTAGGTATACATTTTATCCTTTATGTATATTAACTGAAACAGATACTAAATTTATTCGTTTATTCACGGGATACTACACGAAACCTAGCATTCTTGCTATCGTTTTTGTATTACCACGTCAATTTAGCATGTAGACACTGACAAAGCATGTACTCTGAATATGATTTTGCAAAAAGTAAAATTCTGATATATTTGCTTTTGGTCAGAATTTATAAGATTTCAATGTTCAACCAAAGCCAATAATAATATCGTTTAGATAATTTAATGATTATTTGCTATGTATCAAAGCTAACGCATCATCTCATGATGCAAACTCTCCCCATGACCCTAGGTTTCCAAAATAAGTCATCCTGATTTTTAAGACATGTAAATATTGCAAGAATCACATTATAACACACCAATGCAAGCGTCGTTAACTATCCTTGCAGAACAAATACAGTCGTTAAAGCATATTGTGTATAAAAGGCTAAAATTTCTGTATTTGCTGAAAGTTTATGATCGTGAGTTACGTTGTCAAGTACCTAACTATGGTTATTTTGCATGTACATGCAAAACATGTTCAAAAATCTGAAACGATTATAATTGAAACAAGAAAAATAAAAAATCAAGATACAAGTGACTTATTTCATTGTCTGCCATATATTTTCATTAAAGAATTTTTGATTTAATATATTCAATGACCGAAACTTTATATCACTTGCTTAAAAATTGTTTATAGATGATTGAGTAATTATTTATAACCGATATGGAAGAAGAATATAAATTCAATTTAAGTTTCTTAAGATGTAGAGAATTGAGTTTATTATTAAATTTCAGAAAAAAATTATCATTATATTATATTATTTATATGATATTTAATTAATTTTACCTAATATAATGAAATCCTGATGCAACATAAAAATCTTAGAAAAATTAGTGCTTCATTAATGAGAAAGTATGTGAGTATACATTTAAATATTTTTTAGACATTAATGTGAACAAAAGTTTATTAGATTTTTGAATTCCATATATATGTATCAAAGCTGAGAATAGTTCATAGGTTAAGAAAATTCGAACATACTTATATTCTCAAGTAAATGACTTAGCTGCAAAATTTTGTCTCTCAAAATTATTAAACTACACAATAGACGTAATGCAAAACGTGAATTTATATCTCTATACATACATTGAGAAAATAATAGATATGATGCTTTCATGCAAGAGATCTACGTAAGGGAAAAAATCTATGATAAAACAAGAAGACATATGTTGTATTTATGATATGAGTCGGTGTAACTTAACTCAAGTTGTGTGTAACTTTAGTTTGTTAGACTAGGATACTCTGTTACCACATATCATAGTTTTTCGTAGCTTTCTGTGACATCAATTATGGATTACGAACAAAGTGTTTTTTTTTCCTTGTACCTAACCTCTGCAGGTATGAACCACGTACTTGTTGTGTGTCAACTGTTGATGTGCGTGCATCTATCAGTACTAGTCACAGCACTGTCACATCACTATGTATCCAACAGTCTACAATTGATATGAATTTTTTATGAATGTAAAAACTGAACAACAAGCAAATCATAGAACTATGAGGTGAAAGCAACAGCGGCAAGTAGAGACGACAAGCATGTCGCAGGCAGATAGGAAATGAGGATTGTAGCGGCAAGTAAAGATGAAAACACAGAGCGATTGTGGCACGGTAGTTGTAACAAGCTCGCGAAGGAGTAATAAATCTCTCGACTTTCTTGAAGGAGTTGCGAGAGTTATATGAAGATACATATTTAGATAACATCGAGCAGTAGTGGCAAAACACTAGTGCACCAAACTAGTGACTCTCGTCACTAGTTCCATAAGGCAGACGGTGACTATGTGATTATGGTTTTACTCAAAAACCGTTCTTGACTTTGTTAACATATATGTTAAATTAATCAATGTTAACACCCATTGCCTGATCTGATATGTCAATAAAACAATTATTATAAATGATAAGTTTGCAGTCTAAACTAACTGACTTTTGAAATTGGCAATCTCCCTGATGCTTCAAATATAACGTTAGTTGGCAATAATGCATTGTGATTAAAGCCGGTTTTTGTGCCAGGTTTGTTATTTTTCTGATTAACTTCATAAGAGAGGAGAAAAGATGAGCACAATAGTGCAAATCAAGAGCTTGGACAGAAAATATTACCACAATTTTTATTCAAACCTTAGATGATTTTGTTTAAAAATTTAAAACAAAAAAAAACTTTTACATTCCAAACAAAACAAAGATGGTCCTAGCAATTTGCGGCCTCTACTAAGAGTGATGTTTACATTGACAGATAATTCTTCCTACCACCTAATAGTACAAATGACAACAAGAGTCAAGCACTTTTGAAAAAGGAAAAAAAAAAAGATGATTTGCTTATAGGCATGTTGAGTTTTGAAGTCTAAAATTTCATTTATTTGTCAATTAAAAATATAACAACAATAAATTTAGTTTTCAATGAACTGATTAATAGTTTAAGGATGAAAATTTTCACTTCAACATTTTTGAGTTAAAATGTTCAATTTGATATAAAGATGTTAAATTTTACACTTATTAGCTAAACATTCATGTCGTAAAACTTCACCTCATCACTCGCTAAAACAAAGTCATTAACAATCATCACATAACATCAACAAAAACATTAGTTTGATCAAGAGATTTGTTCACGTCCTCTTTTTAAAGCATTTTCATTTTTTAAACCTTGAGATTTTAATTCAAAACACAAAAGTGTAACATGATAAAGGTATTGAATCTATTATAGTTATAAAAAATATGGTTAATTTTAAATATTTCATTTTCTATGATATTTTTCATTTATTTTTAATAATCTCATGCAATACTTATAATCTTTAGTATTTAACCAATTAGATAACTATAAAAAGTAAACTTTGTTATTTGAATTTCTTGAACAATGATTCTATAACAAAGAATTGTCAAACAAGTTACACAAATATTTGAAACATTCAAGCTTCAAAGATAAAATACTATCATACAAATATTTTATTGATTTTAATTATCTGATGAATATTATTTAAAATCTTAAAAAAAGGAATAAGAATAATACTTCCTATTTTTAATATTTATTATATGCTTTGTATTAATTTGTTATGTATGTTGTTTTAATATGATAAATAAAAAATTAATTATTTTAAAATTATAAATTGTATTGATTGATTATACACAATAAATTTAATGATATGTTTATCTTTTTGATTAAATTATATTCAAAATTGATCATATTTTCAAAATGATAATATAATAATTATCAATTTTACATTAATATTTTACAATAAAAAATTTCAATATAATTTTAATGCATTTGATAATCTTCTGATAAATTGTTTAAAATTGTGAAAATATACAAGTGATGAAAGTAAATATGGTCATTTTTTTAACTCATTGTTTCTTTATTTTGTTTACGGTAAAACACAAGAGAATACACAGTGTCAAAGAAATAATGTGGTTCTTTCTCGGGGAAGAGGGCCACGTGCACCCAAATGTTGAGCACCTTTACTTCTAGGTCATGTCAAGAAAGACGTACTGTACACGGTGAACCTTGAGATATTTATCTTCAATCCAGACGACCGCCTTAGCTATAAATAGTTAAAACCCAAGGTTAACCTCAACAATCTCCCTTCAACTCACGTTAAAGAACAGTAACCTCTATAACATACATTATTACTCCGCGGGAAGTTCTAGATTGAAACCTAACATAAGTCCCCCTCTAAACTCAAGAGTTAACTAGAACTAAGCCGTAGCAATAACAAGATAGAGTACTAACATAAAGAGTTAACTTAAAAACTAGCTAGCATAGAGAGAACAAAAATCTCGTAAACTATATAATTACTCAGCGGGAAGTTCTACAATGAAACCTAATACAATGCTTTTTTTTACATGAGAGTTAATTAGAACTAAATCGTAGCCATCAAAGTATAGAGTAAATATATAAAGAGATAACTTAAGATACTATGTTAGCAAACTCTAACTCTACTCCTCATGCACAACCTGCATGATAGTACAATGTCGCCTAAAACTCTCTAAAGAAATAACTCTGATTAACACATCAGTTTGATTTACCGTCTATCTTAACTAGCTCAATCACCAGAGTTTACCGTCAAGATTGACTTGCTCAATCATCAAAGTTTAACTTCAAGATAGATTAGCTCAATTAGCACATTCTATCGTCAATCTTAACTAACTCAATCATCAAAGTTACCGTGAAGATTGACTAGCTCAATCACCAGAGTCTACAATCCATCTTGACTAACTCAATCATTTTATCAAACACTCTTGTCTGATGAAATACCTGATATCGTTGTGTTTTACAATAATATAAATAATCTATGCTTTGCACATCTTGA